GCTTGAAGCTCGGGAAAGCAGTTCTCTGTCTGAGCTGCGGTTGGCTCACGTCTCGCAAGGTCTGGCGAAAGGGAGGGGGCAGGGATGAAAACTGTGACATCCCGTCACCTGCGAGAAACGACTCTGAGAGCCTTTGCGAAAAAGAGTATGTAACCATCTGTTCAACTCGGGGCCTCGATGGAAGCGACTGGAATGTCTCGGCCTGCGAATGCAGCGGGACGACTGGAGCATTAAAGTATCAAAACACAACATACGCCAAAGCATCCTGCCTTCGGTGGCTTCAGCACCATCTTCTGCCTGTCCTGGAGCATCACATGGCCTTATTTTGACACATCACGAGCGAAGTAGAAACATGCGGCATTGTTGTTTTTTGTCCGAAGCCCTGTTCACGCGCAGTTTGCACTCGGTTTTAAGAGCCTTTCGCTTCGGGTTTTACAAGGCGTTCTGATTTCGGGATTCGGATTTACCAGTGCGCGCAGGGTTTTTGCACTTCGAGGCGGGGCCGGGCCTAATTCCGTCATGTCCGCAGCTTCACTTGTTGTTCGTTGCGTTAGAGGAACTTCGAATTATCGGAGCTTCCAAGGTGAGGTCATACAGGTTAGGTCTTGGGTCAAACAAACTTTTAATGCCAGAAACAGACGTTGAACATGAAGGTTGTGTTCACCTTCAGAAACAAACAGAACCGTAAATGGGGATTCAAGGCATGCCTAGGAACATCGGCGATTAAACCGTAAACCCTAAAAGGCGATGTTGGTAGTTGGAGCCACGGGGGCGAGCCGTCAGGGTCTACAGCTTCGGATTGAAAGTCAGCCGCCTAAACCCAAAATGAATGCTAATAAGTTGGGGACTTCCTTATACAGCCTCATCTCACTGTTCCCTATATCGTGACTGAAGCCAGAACCTTCATGCCTACAGCTTCATCTACAAGTTTTCCTCTTCGTCCTAAACCGTTGAAGCCTGCAAAGCCTCACATCCTGGCTACACCCTAAGCCTCTGGTAAACTCCTAGAACACCCTCATCCCTGCAACACCCCTATAGATACTAACATGTAACTCATACTTCGGAAATGACGACAGATCTTTGATGCTGCTCCGAATGCCCTGTATAACGCGACGTTTTCGCGTCCAACGCTCCTCTCACGCACTGAAACGCTTCCACCAAACGCCACAAAACGCAAAGCAGTAAGAAACAGAAATGAAATCTTCACCACAAAATGCCAACACACACATCGACATCACAAAATGCCACACCTGCCACGGTTTTAAGAGATACCACTGTGATGCCACTCAAGAAACAGCTTTAAAGATATGTTTGTGTTTTGCGTGAGCGCCTGCGATAAGCCGTCTGCGTGCCTGCAGCAACCGCTTTGCAATCAAACAAAATTCAGAATTTCCTCACCTTTTTGACACTTCGTGACAAAGCCCCGACCTCCCCATGTACTCAAAGACCTCCGCGACCTGGTTATTGCGAGCCGAGATGCTCCTGCATATTTCCTGTTTTTTGCCACTGTCTCAATTTCTTCTTGTTCTAGCAATGTACAAAGCGCAAATTCCTCAAGGTTTTGACGCTTTTTGACAAAGCTCCATCTGTGAGCAAATCGAACAAAAGACACTGTGTTGGCATCTTCGTGGCTTCAAAATACTCTTGCTAGCACGTGCAAAACAGCCATTTTTGCAGTTTTAATGCGTTTTTAAGCAACCATTTCCACACCCAGAAAAAACTAGAAGACAATTGGCCCGAAAGCATCATCAGCGAAGATTGTGGGGCTATGTGATAGATCCAGTGTATAGGATCGTAAAGTCACAGAGTCAAGAGTCATAGAGTCCATGAGTCATGAGTCATAAAGTCATAGAGTTGCAGTGAGATAGCGTCATAGAGTCATAGTGAGATAGAGTCACGGAGTCATGGAGTCATCTATGTACCATGCACTTGACTCGATGTAGTTCACTCTATGCTCCCACACTAATCCAGATCCCCATAGCGTGAGGGCGCATAGCCTGACCTGGACCTCGAGAGGCACATACAGTCAAGAGTCATAGAGTCCATGAGTCATGAGTCATAAAGTCATAGAGTTACAGTGAGATAGCGTCATAGAAAGATAGTGAGATAAAGTCACAGAGTCATGGAGTCATCTATGTACCATGCACTTGACTCGATGTAGTTCACTCTATGCTCTATGTGTGGGAACGCTTAATCGAGATCCCCGTAGCGTGGGGGCTCATAGCCTGACTAGTAGTAGTAGCAGTAGTAGTAGTAGTAGTAGGCGGCCACGTTGCTTGCTCGCTTTTTTGCAAGACAGCGTCGAAGCAAGCAAGCAACGGCGCAACCTAGCCAGAGCGAAGAATTCACAGCCCGCACGGCTCACCGTGGAGTCAAGGGCCGCGCGGCCTGAGGAGGTGCCGGGAGAGGTCATCCCAGGGATTACGGTGGTCCGGAGCCTCGTGAAAACGGCTGATTGTAGTTGCAAAGGTTCATCGGGAGCCCCGAGCCTCCATAGCACGCATTATACCAACCCAGGGTATAGTATCATGGAAGAAGAAACATAGCGGCAGCTGACCAACATCCCCAAACGGAAGTCGCAACACTTGTCTCTGAAAGGAGTAGGGAATTAGGGTTTCGCTCTTCATCTCAAACCACAACAGGCCAGCGTATGTTTCTTAGTCGATCCAACAGACTCCAGGGGAACGCCACGGGCTTATGGGTCCTTATTTCGTGTCTATCCACACCGGATAATCCACGAGGACCTAGTAGGACTAATGCAGGGATCACGGTGGTCCAGAGCCTCCTCTAGAAAGATTGACTCTAGCTGCAGACATTCATCGAGAGCCCCAGGCTTCGGTGACACCCTGTGTAGGAAGATGTTGCAACATGCAGCCCCTCACGAGCAGAGCCTGCCGGTCAAACACGTGCAATGACAGGGGCAGATGCTGTCACAATAATGGAGTATGTGGTACATGCAAAAACTCTCGCTTCCGCAGCGTGCGCGCCGTACAAGCGCATGAGTATATGTCTATCTATCTATCTATCTATCTATATATATATATAGATAGATAGATAGACAGACAGATAGATATAAATATATATATATATAGATAGATACAGATAGATATATATATATGTATATTATGGATATATGCATTTGCCAATCCCTCTGAAGGGTTGCCAATTGACCTGCTGCACACCTACCGATTAGAACATAGAACACTCGAAGAGGCAAATCCCTCTCATGGATTGCGCCGGGCACCTAAAATGTGCAACTTTACCTAGCGTTTCAACGCTCGACCAAGCCAATCCCTGTGAAGGGTTCCGCGGGCACCGCAAAATGTGTAACTTCACCTCGCGTTCGAACACTCGACAACGCCAATCTGTGTGAAGGGTTGCAAAATTCATCTCAATGCTCATCAAAAATTGCAACTTTACCTCGCGTTCGAACACTCCACCACGCCAATCCCTGTGAAGGGTTGCAAAATTCAGCTCAATGCACATCAAAAAATGCAACTTTACCTCGCGTTCGAACACTCGACCACGCCAATCCCTGTGAAAGGTTGCAAAATTCATTTCAATGCACATAAAAAATGCAACTTTACCTCGCGTTCGTGCATTCGACCATGCCAATCCCTGTGAAGGGTTGCAAAATTCATCTCAATGCACATAAAAAAATGCAACTTTACCTCGCGTTCGTGCATTCGACCATGCCAATCCCTGTGAAAGGTTGCAAAATGCCAATCCCTGTGAAGGGTTGCAAAATGCAGTTGAGCTGCGCCCAAACCCTGTGAAGGGTTGCGCGGCGCCCGCAAAATGTGTAACTTTACCTCGCGTTTGAACGCCCGAGGAGGCGAATCCCTGTGAAGGGTTGCGCCGGGCGCCTAAAATGTGTAACTTTACCTCGCGTTTGAACGCCCGAGGAGGCGAATCCCTGTGAAGGGTTGCGCCGGAACCCTAAAATGTGTAACTTTACCTCGCGTTTGAACGCCCGACAGTTCCAATCCCTGTGAAGGGTTGCGCCGGGCGCCTAAAATGTGTAACTTTACCTCGCGTTTGAACGCCCGAGGAGGCGAATCCCTGTGAATGGTTGCATTCCCGATGGACGCCGACGGCGCCACCCCCGGCTTTAGAAGAGAGATTTAGATACCGAGATGTAGAAAGTAAGTCATATAGAGGCATAGAGAGTCAGTCATAAGTAAGTAGAGTCAGTAAGTAAGTAGAGTCAAGTAAGTAAGTCAGTAAGTAGTAAGTAGTAAGAAAGTAAGTAGAAGTAGTAAGTAAGTAAGTCAGTAAGTAAGTATAGAGATAGCACAGAGTCAAGTAAGTAAGTCAGTTTCAAGTGCTATGAGCTTGAACAGAGATAGTCATCTAGAGTCAAGTATCAAGTGTAGAGTCAAGTAAGGTATAGAGTCAAGTAAGTTGATTCTATGTCTGTCATCTATGTAGTCATCTAGAGTCAAGTATCAAGTGTAGAGTCAAGTAAGGTATAGAGTCGAGTAAGTTGATTCTATGTCTGTCATCTATGTAGTCATCTATGTACTCATCTGCGGAGCTCCGCACGGAAGAACCCTTCGCGATGCTTTCGGGAACAACAAACATGCTGTGTTTGTAGAGGTTTTTGCAGCACAAAATGCTTGCCCGTTCTGCCCCGCGCGCACGCGCGTGAGCAGAGCGTTGGAGCGGTTTATTTGCTCTCATACACAGGCAATTGTTCGGCAAGCTGCAAGAGCTTGCTTGACTTGGACCCGGCGATGCTGTCGAGCTCCATGACAGCATGTTCGGCTCAAGGCTGGCACCATAAGTTCTGCTTGTTTAACCTGTTCACGCCCATAGTCTCAATGACGTGGCACACGACACTGCATACTACGACTCTTGGATTCTGTACGACGCCTTCCGAAAGAGATGCACTGTTACTGTTCATGTGTGTGCGCCGCTGAAAGCCATCGACAGTGCGGAACCAAGTACTACAATGGCAGATAGCACAGGTGTCGTGAATGTGACGAGAAGATACCGCGTCAAATCTGCGAGAGACTCGCCTGTGCGTCGCCAAGTGCCCGGGACATTGCCAAGCCAGGCACATCGGTGCCTGGCGTTTGTCTTTGCACAGCATACAATCCAAAGAGGGACAACCACAAAACAAGCAGTGAGATCCCGACCTTTGAGAAAAACACGACGGGCATCTATGCCAGACACGAGCATCTGCCGCACCTAGCAGCGGATGGACTGTCCCACACACAGCCAAGCTGCATGGACGGCCACAACCACCTCGCCCCCAGCTGCCGCTATGCGACCTCGCACAAGCCCCTCAATCAAACACCAGTCAGACCTCTCGATTGAGCACCACGAGGTGTCGGCACTCAGCAACGTCGTCGATATCATGATCGACAGTCTCAAAGAGCACCTCGAACAAAGCAGGATCCCATCACATCCAAGCAAATCCGTGAATCTAACAGGCGCCCCCCGGCGCGTCCCAGCGCCTTCTGCTGATGGCAAATGACCATCCGCGAGTCCCCGACGTGTGCGCAGATAACGACTCCAGCCTGCTCCAGTTTGGCTCAGCCTCCCTCCAACTGTGTCCCGTTTGCCTCGGCATCGATCAATGCCAATGTGGCCGTCGTCCCTGGACATGCGCATGATAGCGTGGAAAGAAGCAACATGCAGCATCACGCAACATCAGGATGTCGCGGCCCCACACCTTACGTGAAAGCCCGTCATGTCACTAGTAACGACTGCTGCACTGCACGTCTATTCCGTCTCAAACCGAAACGCAGTGATAACATGCGCAAGGACATAAACTCTGTGAAGTTGAAAGAATATGAAATATGCCGCATTGTGCTCGTCAATCGCTGGACACGCCCTCTGTCGCTGATGTAAGGAATCGGACTAGCATGCATGAGACGAGGCGAATAGAAGCTTTGAAGCGCCGTTTTGTACACTTTACAAACAGCGCTATGGTTTCAGGCATGGCTTTAGATCGGCCCACAAACAAAGATGCAGTGGCTCCACTGGTAAAGGGGCAGTCTAATACGTCAACAGTCAGCAAGTGCTGAACATGAAGTTTCAAACTTCAACGTAGACAGCACTCCAAAAAACGTGAAGACCGGAAAGATTTGTGCAGGAACCCTGTCGCGCATGCCAGGCGAATGATGCTTTTGAAGCGAATGTCAGCTCCCGGCACCTGACCACTCGGCAAGTCCTCCACGTTCCAAACCATCTTGCCTGTTCACGCTTCGTAAGTCATGCTTTGCGAGTCGGGTGGCAAACGAGCAGGGCTTGCGCCATGGCGAAAAGATGTGCCTTCAAAGATGCGACAACAAATTTCGCAACATAGCAGCAGGATCTCACAGGTGCCCTCGTAGCTGAGTCGGTAACCATTTGTCGGGGCACAGATGCTTCAGGATTTACGAGCTGGTCCTCCGTCACTGCATGACAGCGAAAGCGTCACAGCAGCCGCAAAAAACTTAACACACGATGGCGTGCTGCATTCCTCGGCCATCTTGGCCAAGGCGTCGGCGAAACGAGAAAACAGCATAGAAACGGACGCTGAGATCTCGTGTCCTTTTGCGGCGGAGATCTTGTGACTTTGTCATTTGTGCGCATGGGAAGAGAAGATTTCGATTGGTCAGGCCTTGCTCGCCGTGACCATCGAAGACACCAACAAGCATCCTGGCTCTGACTCTGCCGCAAGCACAAAAAACTGAAGATTCCGATCATAGCCGCTAGCCGCTAGCCCTGTCCTCGTGCATCCCAGCGGAATGGCGAGGCTCGCGTCCTGGAATTTGTTCTCCCGACTTGTCGCACAACCAGCTCGCGAGTTGGCGATCGGTGCACGAGCACATCAACAAAAGGCTATGGCTTTCAACTCCAAAAACCTCCGGAAATCCGAAACGAATGACATGCACCGCCCAAAATGTCATCGACGTTGCTTCTCCGGTTTGTCGGGCATCGGTCAGGTTTCCAATGCCAATGCGAAACCCTGGGACTTCCGATAGAATCGCGCAACACGAAGTTTTGAATTGCATGCTACGCTTGCCCCTTGGCCAGAGATGAAGGAATCGGTGGTAGCTTGGGCCGGCCACAAATTCCTCGCCCGTGGGAGGGGGCCAGCACAAATGTTGCTTTCTTTGCCGTTTCGGTCGATTCCATAGGCATGTGCGACAGGGAGTCATTCCGTCCTGGTTGGTCCAATCAGTCTTGTGTGCCTTGCGTCCAGGCAGCGTGTCGGAGCCAACCTGAGCGAGTCTACCATGAGCCGAGTGTTCCAGGTTGCACTGAATGTAGAGATGCGCTGGATCGTAACAGCAATGACGGATGCCCAAAGCGAGATGCACTCGAACAGGACGAACTCATACTGACTGTAACAAAGCCTAGCCTACACTGCACCGACACCTTTTCTCTCGATGCTCACTGCGCCTGTGATTTGATCCGGTGGGGCGTTCACAGTTGTTCCCAGAGACACAGCCAATCACAAACATGAAACAATCGGCTTCACATCCATCCATCTGTGCGTCCGAGGCTCTTTCCAACAAAGCCGAAAATAGCTCAGGCTGCGAACATAGGTCCCGCTAGACGATTTTCGCACTGGAGTTGATTGCACATTCGAGAAGGAGGTGCAGGCCACTGTCCTTCCGACAGATCCCGCACGCATGGGCGACGACGAGGAGTGCAAGAGACGAGATCACTAAGTTGCATGGAGCAGGCGGCCCGCAGCCCCCACTAGGGGTAGGCAAAACAATCATCGGGGCCCGACCTCGCTGGACGCCCGAGCGTCGGAGCGTCGGCAATGTCGAAGATGATCACCCATGATGAAAACCATTGAGGCGGAAAACGAGCTGTTCCGCTTTCTGGCATGTGGGTCTCTGTCAGTATCCGTCGGGAAAGAAGGCACTCAAAGACGGATGCATGACTGCTCACAAGGAGCTGAATGACAAGCTCGTCAGCCCCGAGCAACACCGCCTCTGGACGAGGCAAACATCACGGAAATCACCGTGATGGAAAATGAGAACTTCATGTGCCTCATTGCGGACCGCAGGGAAGCCGAATGAGCTGTCACATCTCTTTGTGCCCTAGCGGTTTGTGCGAAACCGTGTGCACCAAAATCGGCACGGCTCGAAATGCTGGAGGAAGCAATTGACACAGTCACACTGGCTGCACCAGTTCAGTCTACAAGCAAGCAAGTCACCATCAAACCATCGCAGGCGCAAATTCGATTTACGGGTACTCCAGACCTCGCTTAGTCACAGACAACATCTCCTACATAAAAGCTCCACGCCCTCAACAACAGACTTTCTGGCACCCGTTCCTTTATCAGCTCCTTTGCAGAAGTCCTACCCTCCGATCCAGTCCTAACTTGGGTAAACCCAGATGCCCGCATTGGCGTGGCTGAAGGACCGCTCCACTGCTCGCACCCGAAACTTTTCAGGCACGCCAAACAAAGGCTAAAGTAGCTCAGCCCCACAAGCACGAAGTCGACCTCGTTCCAAAAGCTCCTCGGCCCGCGGCCGGAATTTCCAAACATAAATGCAAAAGAACTTGTGGTTCACGAGACTCAGAAGAATCACCTTCGATAAGCGGAGAATGAGGCAACGGACCTAGGTGTCGAGTTCCAGGGTTGTCATCCTTCAAGTAAGCCTTCAAAAGCGCACAGTTCCACAGCCGTGGCCATCACCACAGCTACGTTGCCACGTCATGCAGAGCCCGCCGGAGGTGCACAAACCCGTTCTTTGCTTCAGATGCCCAAGACGCCTGTGATTTGATCCGGTGAGGCACAGCAATCAAACCGGCAGCTGGAATCTGATGTCTGATGCACAACCAATCACAAACAATAAACAGCCTCGGGAATACTGATGCCGTAATCGGTTTCACACAGACAATGCAGGGTACGGTCATTTTACCAAAAGCAAATAATGTATTCCACTGCATCAAAGAAATGTTCGCCATGCGGCTCGAAGTAGAGTGGGAGGTGTCACTCCTCAACAGGTGATTGCAAGCTACCTCCAGTTAACTCATCTCTTCGTCATGTTTGCATGTGGCTGTCCTTGTGAGCAGCTTGACACATTGCCAACCGCAGAACAGGGAAGCCTCAGGATAAAGTGATTTTCTGATCACAAGCACACTTCTGGCCAGCAAGTAAGATCTCCGCGGATCACCCAGACACCCAAAAGCCTCCTCGGCAGTCTTAGCGCAACCGTCTCGTCCGAGCTACAAGATGCTCCAGCTTGCGTGCATGGGGGCGTGTGAAGGAATGCATCAGCTGCATACATGATGATGGTGATGATGATGGGGAGGATGGGGATGATGATGATGCTGTCGATGATGGTGGTGGCGATGGTGAGGATGAGGATGATGTCCGGGAGGGCCAGCTTCAGGCCGCAGTTCTGCAGTTGACCGAGGGGAGGTTGTGACAGGACCGGAGGTGTGTTCTGCAGCATGCATTGAAAAATGCTTTCGTCGTACGAGACTTGACCCGAGACAGCCAGCAAGCGCTTAACAGAAGATAACAGAAGTGGAAGATGCACTCCTGTCTGCTCGGTCAATCTCTGCTGCCGAGGAGGTGCACATCCCCCCCAACGTACCTTCGAGACCTGCCTCGCCACAGCAAGGAGGGTCCAACGGCTGTGGACAGGTCAGAACGGCCAGAGAACCCGCACCGGACAAATGCTTCGTTGCCTGTGCTCAACACCCCACAGAGTTGCGATTCCTAAAAGGTGCTTTAGTAGTCCGACCGAAGCAAGATCAAGCAGGTGAGAGGGGATAAGTAAGTTAGATAAGTCTTGCCGCGAGCCCGTAACAAACGCGTCACGAATGGTGGGGAATTTGTTCGCCCTCTAAACTCACATCTACTACACTGGCCTGACCTGCGCAGAGACCACGCAAGGCTGGTGCAATCAACACACATTGCACCACCAGATCTACCCCCAAACGCAAGGCTTCAAACAGAGTACGAAACCGTGCGCAGGATACCCACACATAAGTAGTCTCTGGCCTGGTGCACAAAGCTTGCAGGTGACCTTGGCTTGACAACGGGGCCAGACCGCTCGATGGTGACCCCTGAGCTGCAGACGGCTGCTTTCCAACCACACAGTTATATGAAGAAGCCCATGCTGGGGCCTCGTGACACCGAAGTGCTTACAGATGTTGGGAGTACATGGAACTTGATTGGCCTTCACATCCGCAGGCATGAAATTTGGCCGCGGTCCACAGCTGACAGCAATCCGAAAATCATGCACGGGGTCCACATGTTTGCCGGCTCTTGACGGTGCTTCCACCGCCTGGAAGATGAAAATGTATCGCCTTTTCCAGCCTTACGGACATTGCCATTACCTGATGGCATACCCACCCATCGCCTCAGTCTCCAACGGCAGATTCTCCTGGATGACCCGATGTTGAGCCTTGCTCAGAAGCTCGCCTACATTCTACAATGGACGTCGCAGCAAGTTGAGATTGTCCGGCTTATCCCCACGCAAGGGAGCCGAAGTCAAGCTTCGTGATTTCTACATCAGGCAAGCAGGGACTTTGGGCTGACAGCGTGTGTGGAAAGCGTACCCGATTCAGCCGCAGTCCCTCCTTCCACGGCTCGGTGCATTCGACGAAAGTCGCATTCCCGCCACCGCCGCGAATTGCACATCCACTCTTGTAAATGTAGTTGGTGAATCACACTGCCGACACTGCGCCTTGCTTATTTCGGGGGTTTTGGGTGCGTGTGGACTGATTCTATGTCAAATCCGCGCGCCCGCGAAGGTCCGCACAAGCACTGTCTCGAAGGGACTGCCTGGTGCCCTTACACGGTTTGGAGTCTACGCTGGCGCAGCTTTGCTTCCTTGACGAGTCCCAGTGTGTGTGAGCACTTTGTTTCCCGCCCTGATCGGACAATCGGACCTATAGTGGGAAATGGGAAAGGTACAATTGAAACCCTAAACCCTAAAGTCCTTAAAGATACGACGCAAATGCGACATGTGTCCTTCATCCCTGCAAGGGATGATTCGCCTGCAAGCTCAGCACGTGACTTGAGTCACGGCCCCAGTGATCCACTTCTTCCATTTAGTTTGATAGCTCGAGGGGTCTCAACTGCTCGTGACTGCCCCTCACCAATCGCTTGAAATGCCGGCCATGAGTCGACTAGTTTACATCGCGCTAACGCCATTCTAAAGCCACACCTAGTCGGCCCAAGCATACGGGAGTCCTTCGAATCAGAACAGAATGAGCCGAAAACCCCCTCCCGATTCGCTTGCGCACCCACACCGTGGTCGGACTTTCATGCACCATCCAAATTTAGCACTGGGATCCAAGGATGCAAAATGCTCTTCTGCATCAATACCAAGCCTCTGCATGCAGAAGCTGGAGCCCGAATCAGCATGTCGTGTTGGAAGGCCTCCACGGACTCCACAAAAAAAAGCTGCATTCCCCTGGCAACCCGTTGCCTCCAGCTGCTGGCAGCCTCCGCACCTTGGAACACTTTAGCATGCATCTCGCATCGTAACAAGCTGACCCAAGCATAAATGCGACCCATGACACTCGGACGAAGCCTCTGCCTGAACAGCACACTCATCTTTCACACACTCGTTCTCTTGACACTTTCTTTGGACATGGATTTTGAGCCTAAAGCACAAGCGACACCCAAACTCCACGGAATGAGATCTCTCAATGGTCTGCAAGTAGGTATGCTTGATCATGTTGCACTGACTGAAAACAATTCGATCAAGCACCCTTGCAACCCGATATCTCCGGTCGCATGACAGTCAGTCTGATGAGCCAAGGGGTGTACCCCGAAAGCGCGCGCCGCCCTCCCAGCAGCCCTCGCCCGGCCCTCCCGGATCACTCACTCAACAAAGGGACACTTCAGATGTGCCTACCTGAAGCGGAAAACATCAAGATTTTATACTTAATGGGCAATGAAGGGCGACGACAAGCGATTCTGTCGGCAATTCTCGAAATCGCACGGATGTGTAGCACTATCGGGCAATGTGATCAGGGAACCAACTCGGAGCGTCACATTGCTGCAATGCGCGGCGTCATTCGATCTGGTCCCTGGGCAACAAGTCGAATCAAGAAGGTAAGGCCCTGTCCGCACAGGGCCTCCTCATAAGCCTAAAAGGCCGCCATCGACCCCTGCTACAATGACTGTCGACACCCTGTCGACGGGGTCGTTCCTCGTTTCTTCAGTCATGTATTCATTCGTTGCATCTCATTTCAAGTCATGTCATGTCATTTCACATCATTTCACGTCACTCTACTTCATTTCACTTCACTTTACTTCAGCTCCTTTCGCCTCAGTACATTCCAATGCATTTCATGGCACCTCAGTGCTTTGATTCCATGTTATTTTGCTACATACATCTATTTCCGGGTTTTGTTCATTCATGCATGCATTCATTCATCTCATTCATGCGTTCATTGTTCAGTCATTCATTGATTCATTCATTTATTCATTCATTCATTCACTCATTCATTTCTGCATCAAATCATTCACTTCATTGATTCATTGATACATTGCGTCATCCATCCATCCATCCATCCATCCATCCATTCATTCATCTATTCATGCATGCTCAGTCATGCACTCATGCATTCATTCAATCATGCATTCATTTGATCACGCGTGCGTTGGAAGCTCTGCAACCCCTCCCCCCCCCCCTCCCCTTGTTTTTAGACTGCAAACTTCCCGCAGTCTTCCTAAATCCAGGACTTTAAGCCACTCCCTTCTCCAACACACGCAAAGGAGAAAGCCACACGAAAAAGCTTCAGGGGTGTAAGAAGCGAAGAAAATACAATTAATCATGAGTGATTTGGAAGCTCTGCAAATGGTGCAGAGATGTGCAGAGGCTGATGCGCTGCTTTTGGCAGCCATGGAAAACTGAAGCTCTCATGCATGTGAAAATCATGGCGTCCTTCTCTGACAGGGCCTATGTCAGGGGTGGAAAGGGCCCATGACAGGCCTATGACAGGGGTGGACAGGGCCTACGGACGGGGTCTATGATGGGCGGACAGGCCCTACGGACGGGGCCTGTAACCTGACAAAGCCTACGGACAGGGGTTGACAAGGGCCTGTGGCAAGGGGGACAGCGCCTGTGACAGGGCGGACAGGGCCTGTGACAGGGTCTGTGATGGGGCACGACAGCAGGGCCATGGACAAGTAAAGGGTAGGATGTCCTCGGGGCTTCTGTATGGAACGTAAACCGAAAGAGAGGCGGAGGTTGTGAACGGAGACAGGGTTCACCCCTCTGTGATGGCATGCATCACACCTCAGCTACGACGAGGAGATCATGAAGCGAACCGAGACAGGAATGAAGGATGTCGAGAATGTCAAACTCCTTAGGGAATCTACAGTACCCATGCTTCGCTCTATGCCTGATGTGGAGTGTATGCCAGTGTATGCATAGTTGGAACTGCAAATCCTGTCTGGAAACACCTGTCCAAACAGCCATGAGTAGTGCTGGCCTTGACCGACTCACCAGACCTGCAACAACGACTGGGCTGGACTATGGGCTTCCGTCATGAAAACCCACGACCGAGCCACTGTGAGCCACTGAGCTCACGGCAGCACGTCTGGAGTGCTGACGTCAGCATCAAATCCGTCAATCCTTGCACGGCCGAGTCTTGACCAGATTTCACGACGATGACCCTCGGAAACGACTTGAAACGCTCGGGCCAGATCTGCATTCGAAGGTGGAACTTGAAACGCTCGAGATTGCGCGCAGACTGCAAAAGCAACGGGCGGAACTGAAGAGCTGGAACAGGAAACCACGGCCTCTTTGTGCAGAAGGCGGAGGGCCCTTGAATAATCTGCCAGCTCCGTATCTGCAGCTGCTTGCAACAACGATGCGACCTGTCCCCGACACCAGCTGAGAGTCACTATCGCTACAAGCCGCATTTTGCAATCCATCCCCTTCGATGAAATGCGGACATGCAGCGTGGCTTTTCTTTGCACAAACCGCTTTGCACACAGACCTTCGTATGGCTCTGAGCTTTCTGTGAAACTTATTTTGGACACGGAACTTGACACTGTGCCATCCGTGCGAATCTTGTGCACAAACTGCGAACAGGCACCGGAAGCCTACTGACTCCTTTTCGTTGGTGACTCCACCATACTCCACCAGTGTGTGCAAAGGCTTACTAATTGATCTTCGCTGACTCCGCGTGGTATTCTGCAACTGCCGACATGGCCTGGAGACAAGAAGATTTCCAGCATCACCCAGCGATGGGCAGAGTGCAACTTGCGTGGATCAGCCCAGCCCCTCCTGTGGCTTGAAGTAGTTGTAAACTGCCGTGGGCAAGCCTTAAAGCATCGCATGGTGCGACTTTAGACATGCTACATGTACGCATCGCATGACCCTGCCTCGCTGACTGTACGCTAGAAAAGCCACGCTGCCTCCTCCTGCGACAGGCATCAACGGGCACGAGTGCTGAAAGGCCTTCGTGGTTGTGCAAAGAACGAAATCTCTGTTGAGCGCACAGACAAACCACGGGTAATACAAACAGCAAAGGAAAGGGTGATGATAGAGTCGCGCCATGTTTTGAAACCCACGGAGCGCATGCATCTGCAAGCAAGTGTTGTAGACAATGCGCAAGACAATCCGTGGAAACAATAATCACGTGCTCCACCTTCTTCCTCGTGTTCGCCTTACCCTGTCATACCCTGTCCAACATGTATGCATGGAGAAGCACCAGACGTGGACGACGAGCGAGCCAGCCGCCAGCCCTCTCTGTCGCTTTTCTCTCCTTTTGTCTCCCTCTCAGCCTCTCCGCTCCTGTGCTTTGTTCTCGTTCAACGCCGTCGACTGCTACGGACGCAGGATGACGCAGGCAGACATGCACCCAATGTTCTCTCGCTCTTACTCCCCACTCAGTTGCTCTGTCACCGGACCCGCACCGGCCTTTGAGGTGATACTCATACGGTGTAGTATGAAGTCTGTCTTCTTTGAACTAAATGCCATGTCCCTTCGGCTACCAGCACCACCAGGGGCATAAAGATGTGCACAAAAAGTCTGCACATCCTTCGACCCCCAACTCGAAGCTCTTCGGAAGAGTGAAAACTTGCAGGACACTGAATCAAAATCATCAGTCCCCATTCATCGAGATCTTGTGTCCCGTTATCGTTCCCGCTAACCACACTTCGGTGTCGACGCGATATTTTGCATAATATGCCTCCCTTCACACCTTTCCTCACAGTCTGGACTAGTCGAGGGGATTCGTTGCACCACGCACGTTTCCGTTGATTGCCTTGGCCTGCCTTGGCCTGCCTGCCGTTCCCGACAAGGCAGAGGACTTCTTTTCAAGCACGGTGTCAAACACCACTATCACCAATGCAGAGCCAACCCCCCACCTAGAAGCAGGCAGAAAAGATCTGCACAATTCTGCACTGGATGTTGACATTCACATGCTGTTCAAAACTCCTGTTGGGCTGGCTCTCCCTCATTCTTTCGTTTGTGTCCATGCATGCCCTTACGTCTAAGTAAGACAACCTTTGCCGGGACGTGATCGTGGCCTGGGTCCTTGGGCTGCTTTTCCCCTTGCAAGATGCGTGCCGAGTTTCTCTTTACCCACCCTAGGATGCGAACGTCGCGCAGCATAATTTCAGCAAGCCTGGGCACGCGGCAGGAACACCCTCTCGCACAATCTTCAGCCACTATCTTAAACCCTCCATTTTGCAAACAGGTCACTCGACTAGTTACTCGTACCAGTACCACGAGTAGTTCGCACAAGCAGCTTGCTCACGGCCTGCAAATCCCAAGCTGCAGCCAGCCTTGTGAGTGCAACAGACGTTCCAAGGACGCTCTGATTGTTGAGCATATCTTGCAATATCTTGGCATCTCTGGGCATCTTGCAGCTCCACCAACGAAGAGGCCGGTAGAGCCACCCACAGCTGCGCCTCTGCGCTGCGATGCGAGGCGATTCGCGGGGCACAACGAAGATCTTGGGCACGCCCACCGATGGGAATGGAGAGGCCAAAGGTAAAAACCGCAGGCACCAGCCCGACCAAAGCACCTACCTCAAGCAGAACGCACGTGAAAGCACAAGCGGACTTGGAGGGCCAGGGTTGCCAGGGCGCAGGCGGTGCCCCCGACACAAGCCTTGGGTCCAAGGGTCCCATCCGCTCAATTGGGTCCCGTGAGTCCCCACACGCTCTGCTCCGCTCTGCTCCGCTCTTGGTCTCTGTTTCTGTCTTCAATCGCCTCGAGGCTCGGCTCTGCCAATCGCAACTGGGCTTCCGACACCGCTTGCCGCCCCGGCAGTGCCCAAGGCAGCAGCTCCAAAGCCAGCGCCAGCCGTCGACACCTGGGCAGCCATGCGCTTTGAGCCAGGGGAGCTCAGAGCTCTTCTGCAACTGCAATCCCTCTGGAAGTCGCGGTCCTGAACGTGCCGATTGGAAGCCGCAGTCTTTACAAAGTCTGCAGTTGCCCTAGCCTCCGCAAGGACCCAGAAGTTGTGAGAGCTCCTTTCACGCAGCAAGCGCTGAGGACGCCTTTTCCTGTGTGTAGGCGGCGGAGACGTGCACCCCATCGCGAACTTTGCGATTTGCAGCCTGGTGCTCTGCACGCAGAACAAAACACGGAACGGAACTTGCCCGAGAGCCTTGACAGCATTCGTAGGTCGCACGACCTGCAGCCGTGCAGCCACTAATCTGCGCACTGTCCAACAGTCCAACAACTCTGGAATCGCTGGACTTTCAGGACCTGGCTATGACGTGGTAGACATCGTAAACTTTGGCACTCACGAAAACAGCTGCGAGCCGAATCCTTGGCCGCCAGAGGAATGATGCCAAAACGGGACGGGCATGCCTTTGGGCAGCGGCTCGGATCGAAAGTAGGCGAGAAAAGTGCCTTAGCATGCGACGCCCGCCACTCAGAGTGCGATAGCGTTGGTTCTGGCTCATGACTCCTATGGCTTGGACCACTCGTTGCGCCACCAACCTCGGTCAAACAAAACGATCCTGTGTTGGATGCCAAGCGCACCTACCTGTCTTTACCTGCCTTCCATGTCTTCCTCTAAGTGCTTCAGCTTGATTCATGTCGCGACTTCTGAGTGCGCAGCAAAACCGGCCGAGCTTCCCGTGAAAGCCTTTCGACAGAAATTGATGCAAATGGAAGCACCGTGCAAGTGCACGCTGCTGCCGGGACCCAAGCCCCCGCGAGAAGACCGCCGGATCCGCCCAACCTTGCAAAAGCGCACAAAGCGTTGTCGCAATGTCGTAACTCCTTCACAAGAAGCGTCTGATGCACCCGACAGAGCTCCCAGTGGTAGCGACAAGCCCAATGTGAACAGAGCAGGAACCTTGACTTGGCAGTCAAGTGGCTCCAGCCTCTCTAGACTTTCTAGACTCTGGACTTTCGAGGCGGCAAGACAGTCCAGACTGAGAAAGCTGAGGAGTAGTCTGCTCCAACGCAAAGTCCCACTGCAGCACCCACAGTAACTCCAATCACCTTGACCACAAGCGCACTAATTCATCCGGCTTTCCAGCCCGGAAGAATAGTCAGACCATCCCGTTTCTCTGAGGGTTACAACGGCAGGGCGTGCTAGGCAACACACTGCTCCCACTGAACCCAAACAAAGTGCTCCTGCAGGTTGCAAGGTTGACGGCTCGGACTCTCTGCACCGCAGGAAAACAAGAGATTGTCACAAAAGCTTGCAGACATTAAGTTCTGCCTCCCGTCCCGGCAACCACAGCTGCAAGTGCCTGTGGATCCTGCATGTGAGGGCTCAGCAATGTACATGGGGTCCCCAAACTCCGTCGGAGACCGTCCTCCTCCTCTGCCAGTAGAGCTTGCAGCTTGGGATTCTGAATCACACGCAACCTGCCCGCAACAGGTGAGATAGCGTGCTACTTCATGATGTTTTGCGCTGTTTTTGACTCTGAGGGCGGAGCACGCGAGCAGGCATGGAACAGACCATGCTCGTGAAAAGAAGGACATAGGCCTTCTTCGCACACCAGAAACAGAGCACAGCCAGAGCACCATGAGAGCGAAGTCTCAGCGGCCTTGACATCGTGTACGAGCTTCCTTCTGGACCGCCAGGCCGTTTGCACCAACCTCGACTCGACGACGGCATCTTGCGAATCGGCCTCGCTGGCATCAGTGGGACCCTCTCCCGGGACCCCTGCTTTCGGACCGGCTCGGCAAGTTCCTCGAAGAAGCTGAAGAGCTTCACCTGTGTGGCAGTGTGGCACTGCCGGTCAGTCTCATTCCTTTCCATGATCTTCGACGTTCTTCATCGTGGAATGCTCCATAAGCTATGGCCTATCTTTCCTTGACCTGCGAGATTTGAGTAGCACCACTTGTTTGGCTACTCATCTGCTCCGAATAATAGTTTTGAGTCTCATGAATACCAATGCTGTACCATGTTGTACGGCTGATCCTGGTCCTGCTTGAGACGAGGGCTTGATGTCCATCAGTTCACATTCAAGCGTGCTGGCAGACAGCGTATCACTGCTGATCTACACGGCAGGCCTGAGCATCTTCGCCATCATTTCGCCTCGGCACCGATGCAACAGTGTGAACATCTGTATTCCCTGAAGTTCTGCATGGTGCTTGTGAACCTTGAGAATCAGACACCGTCTTTTTCATGGTCTTGCTTTCGTCGATCGCCATGGCAAGCCAAGCCAGGATTCTACAAAAGACAGTCTGATAGCTTACAGATAAACCGAGCACATCCAAGACCAGCCAGACTCAATCGTTGAGTCGTGTCGCATTGTTTGACCCTCGTGCTGAGCCAACACCACACAGATTTCGGCATCTAGGTCAATGCTCGGCACTCCCTGGCCCATGCAACGCATCGCACCTGCTCCACAACCGACACTTCCGAAGGTCGTGGGATCAACTGGGGATGGTTTCCACGCCACGGACTGCAGGATGCACATAAGACCAGCCAGGTCCCAGACTTCGAAAGGGTTGTCCGACAAGTCCTTCAAGCTGGTCAATGCCCCACACACACGCACGCAGGTTGACGTGTGCTCTCTTGCAATTGAACAGCGACACGCATGCAAAGGCAGCAGAAAGACCCTCTCAAGCTTCTTGGACTGTTGCTGTTTCAAACTGCTCAGACTCACGCCGAAGTAGCTTCATGCGCAGGAGGATTCGACAGAATAGCTTCGCTTCATGCAACATCGCATGGTACTATCTTGAAATGAACTTGAAAAGAGTTCCACAAGCATACAAGTGAAAGGGTGGTGCGAGTCGTCAAGCGAATCTGCTTCAGCACCGCATTGCGAATCAAAGCTATCTGGGTGCGATGGCATTGTCGGGCCAGCACATGCCTACCAGCTTGCTGCCTCCTAGTGGGTCTGTCAGTGACGGTGACGTGCTCAATAATGTCGCTCTGCCAAATGCTGACGGTTGCTTGGAAGTTGCAAAAGAAGCATAAAGCTGCCGGCCCGAAATGCCAATACACCCCCACACCACCCTGGACGGACAACAGGCAGCTGCTTGTGCAACCGCAAAGTTCGCTACGGCTCACCTTGCAGCTCAGAAGTGAAATTTGTCCGAAAATACAAGGACCAGAGCTAGGTAGATGTATAGTCATAATAGGGCAGTATTTGAAGTCGCCCTACATGAAAGTCTAAACAAGTTGGACAAGGGACTTTCAGGTTACGGGAAAGCCACCCGGCGAACACAATTCTGCAGCCACCTCATTGCGTACCCTCGGCCCACCCAGATTAACAATGGTCCAGATAAGCTCGCAAGCCGTTGTTGACCTGGTTCTTGAACCTCTGTTGCTGAAGTGAGTTTCCAAACGACAACTCCCGCGAACTCCACGGACCTAGCTCTCGTGACAGCATTGACACTGAAAGCTACCCAATACTGCTGATAAGGTCGAAGGCAGCATCCCTGCTGTAAACAAGCTGACCCCCCGGCTAACTCCGAAACTTAGGCAGGCTTGAAGAAAGTTTGGTCTCTCTCGCGGAATGCCATTTGCGTTCACATCATCGCGCGCTCGACTTGCGACTTCTTTCGCGAAATCCTTGCGGTACGCTGCATGTGAGCTTCTGACCTGGAGAACCGCAAGTCCCCTAAAATCCCGAACCTGTCTCGCGTTGCTCAACAGCCAACTGTTGATGCACCACTCTTCGTGACAACAAAATCGTTCACAAGTTCGACGTAGACCCCTAAGGTGTGCAGTCTTTTCCAACTGCTTTGGCATCGGTGGCATGGTCTGCCATTTCGGACTTCATTCGAAGTCCTGACGTCTCTCGAATCTGTAACTCGCATTTCTTACAGAAATGTTCTTTTCGGGATCCAGAGGACTGACTGTTTCGCGGTCGGTGCTCGCAGACTGAAAGAAGATCAAAATCGACTACATGATTCCGGTTGGGGAAGGCGGAGGAAGCAAACTTTCGAATACGATACGATACTTATACCAACATGGCCACAGAACATGTAACATTCGAAGTGATCGGCTCATGAAGATCCTCGGTGTCGATCGGCGAAGCATCAAAGCAAGGAGCTGTCAGTTCGCACACAAGTGTGCTACACGACAACCAGTGTTTGGACGGTATGGTGCCGTCGTAAAGGAGTTAGAGGCGATACTTAGCACGACGACTGCTGGCGTTTGGAAGGATAGCAAACGGATTATCAGCGATACTTAGTACGACTACTATTGATTCGATGGCGGGTGCACCAGGCCAATCAAAACTCCCACAAATACATCAAATACCAAGCTGTGCGCGGCCTGGAGCAGCTTCTCCGCCGCTTCCATAATCGCTTGCCTGGCCTCTGCCTACGATTGTCCCAAAAAGATCGATGTCCGTCAGCCGCTCTGTCACGGACCTCGTCATCTTTTGCCCTCTCCTGCAGTTCTTCCCATGCCTGGGCCACCATCACAATGGTGTGCAAGCGACGCAACGCAAAAAATCTACAAGAGAACCTTGTGCTTTTGCTCGAACTCTTTCTCGAAAGCCTGCACTTTCTGCGGCTTTTTGCTATCTGAAGCTCGCATACGTCTGAAATCAGCACCTCCTCCTGCGCTTGAATCCGATCCTGCTCAGCCTGCCACAAGCATTTGCTGGCATCCACCTCTAACACGACGGCTCGAATTGCCGAAACACCTGCCTGATCTGCCCTGTTCAAGCCGTTGGACATGCTTTTGGAGTCCTCGACATCGACTGCAGATCGATGCTGCGTGCGCCTTCGCCTTAGCCTCTAAGAAAAGTCCTGCATCAGCTCTGGCTCTTTCCTCTCCTGCATTGCAGCCGTGAAATATCTTTTCAGCATGCCTCGTCCCAGCTCCCGCCCAGTCCTGCTGACGGAAGTCCCGCATCCAGCTTTGAGCCTTTGGGCTACCTTGTGCGAGGGAGCAACAGGCCTACTTTTCATTCCATTCTGCATGTCTTGGCCGATGCCTTGGCCAGCTGACGAGTTGCTAGCGCGGCTGTTGCAGACGTGGCTGTTGCTCGCATTCGGCCTAGCAGGCAGCGTGGATCAAGACACTGCAGAGGGATGTGCCTGGCGTCCGATTCCACCTCTCTGTCTGCCAAGATAGCCCATCTACCGATCGCTGCACAGCGACCACACCTCCCAGTAATACTGCCTAGATCATGCATCGCTGTCACTGCTGCATAATGCAGCCAACTGGAGGCCTGGAATTACGCCCTCCTGTGCAGCTTGCTCCATCTCCGCACTGAAGAAATCAAAAAACCTCAAATTGACAGATGCCCTGGCAGTCTCTGGCATACGTGGATGATGTTGGATGTCTTTCCCGTGCAGATTTCACTGAGGTATCAGGCTCCTCCCAGGTCACTTCTCGATTGTCATCCCGGTCCATGGCCTGAAACCTGTCTGTACTTCAAGAAGATCCATGCAGCTCTCCCGAACGCGCACGCGAGCCTTGCTTCGAGCAAATCCCTCGTGCCGCCCTCCTGGCATATCACATCATTAAGGCAAGACTTGCACAGTTTTGTTCCGAAGGGCCTGCTTGACACCAGTGGGGAAGCCCAAAGATGCAGCAAGCTCTGGACCTAATTGAACTAGTGGTCACGGCTCCAAGCTACAAAGCGACTCGCCAAGGGGAACACTTGCGCGACAGAATTTGATCATCTCACGCCTGCTTGCATCACAGTGGGCGTCTGAGTGCAAAGAACAACCCGGCCGCTATTCTGTACACATGCTCAGCAGGCGTGTTCGGTCTAACTCTGCGCTACGAACAATCTCACGAAGGACAAGCTGACATCAACTAGATCAAGACAGCCATAGGATTAAAGGTCAGCAAGCCCTCAGCATCAGGCTTGTTGATTCGGCCGTCGCCTGGAACACAGGCCACTGTAGCGCCGCGAGCATCCACAGGGTGATCGTGCATGGTGCACGAATACGAGCCAGCAAGTCCATTGACATCCACTGACTGGAAGATCCGTCTCAATGTAGCCTGCAAGTCATCAGCTGCTGTCATCCGAGTCCTACAAACACCGTCACCGGAGCCTCCGCGCTTTCGGACAAGCTGCTGCTCCGCCTCGGTCATGTGGAAGCACAGTTGCAAAGGAGTAAAACCAGGTCCCAGGTAGGACAACATGCAAGACTTGTTCTCGGAAACCCAGATCGGAAAAGTTATCAGCACGGCCTTTCCACGACCCCTTTGACTGAGGTACACAACGCGACCTCCGAGTCGCAAGGTCAAGCCCGATTTTGATCTTATAGCCAAGGGCGGTGTCTCATACTTCCCTGATGTTGCCATGGTGCCATTACATTGGCATTCGATGTTCATGTCTCCTGAGACGGGATTGTCCTGATTGCAGCAGAATTGCAGTTGCCCGGTTCTGTTTTGCGCTGCATACTGAGTGGACAAGCGTCTACGGAGTGCGATTTTGCGACTGTCTCTCTGATCCTGCGGGATTGCCAGCATGCCGCGCTGTCCGGTACAGGGAGGGCCATCGTGATTCAGAAACAAAGAGACACAGGGAAGGACGGAGAGAGATGTCCAAAACAACAAAGAGAGAGAGAGAGAGAGAGAGAGAGAGAGAGAGAGACAGAGCGAGAGACAGAGACAGACAGAGAGAGACAGAGAGAGACAGACAGAGAGAGACAGTCGGAGAGAGAGAGAGAGAGAGCGAGAGAGAGAGAGAGAGAGAGAGAGACGGAGAGAGAGAGAGAGAGAGAGAGCGATAGACAGAGAGTGACAGACAGGGGTAGGGACGGAGAGAGAGAGAGAGAGAGCGAGGGAAAGAGGGAGAGAGCGACAGAGCGACAGAGAGAGTGAGAGAGTCAGAGAGGCCAAAAAGGGAGAGACCCCTCCACAAGAGACTGGCAGCTCTGGATCGAATCATGTCTTTTACAGTACCCTGGACAATTCGCAAACCGCTCCCCAAACAATCACCGTTGCACAAGCGGAGCACGACGCTGGTTTTTCTAACTATTGGTCGTCAGGTTGTTCCTCTCGCCACGCCATCGCTTGGCTGTTTGCTCGTCAGGTCGCTCCTCTTGCCAGGCCGTCGCTTCGCTAACACTGATCTCGAGAGGTCGACACGGCTAGATCACACGCACCTGACCCCGTGACCAGCCAACGAACAAGTATCCCCACCGGTGCCAGCGTCAATACTAGCAGCTGTGTGAACCTGATGACGGATCCCTTTGCGCCGGCTCTTGTGCAGCGCGACATCCTACGGCCCCAGTTTCGCCTCTTGGGTGACGGATCCGGCTCTAAGGCAACCCAAAAAGGTTGAGACATCTCTGTCAGTAGAGTAGGTGCAGAAAGAGGTACAAGAGACCCAGAAGTCATGCCAACACGTGGTCACTCGTGTTGTGCACAAGGGACCCCACAATGATTTCTGCCACATTTTGCCACCATGTGGCCGCATGTCTTTTTTCAGGTTTCGGCCGCCTGCGATTGGGTTTCTGCTGCGCATTTTACGAGACGCAGAGCCGCGTGCCATGTAGCACGAGAGCTATGATATGCGACCCAGCAAGTCGTCACCGCGAGAGGTATACCTGGCAGGCTATGATGCGCCTAACGATAGGCGAAGCGAGAGAGGTAGGGAGCAAAGCCAAACTCCGGAACCCGCGCTTCGGCTTTGAATGTGCATCCTCTCGTCTCGGGGCGAACTGTGGCCAGCAGGTCCAGTCCTTGCGCTTCCGCGACAGCGCCCGTGGGAACGGGGGCCGCTCGAATCCGATGCCTGACAGCCTCGTCGCCTGTTCTCAATCTCGCTCTAGGTCGTGACGCCTGTTCACACTTATCAAGGGCCAAGGTTCGTGAGGCTGATCGGGGGGCAGTGTGCAAAACATAAAACGCGACCGACTGTTTGCGGAGCAGCCGAGCAGCGCGAAGTCTGTGATAGGGGGCCGCACCGACTGTTTGCGGAGCAGCCGAGCAACGCGAAGTCTGTGATGGGGGGCCGCTCCCGCCGTGACGATCTGCTTGCTGGTCTTGTGACGGCCCGGCGACGCAAATCCACCGATCGTCTTGTAGTCAAAGTCGCCGGTCTCTGTTATTGACAAATGCCAAAGACGCATTGGACGACGTCAAAGCAAGAACAGGACCCTCACAGGTTGGCGAGGTCGGGTTCGGAGGGGCTCTGGCGGCAGGAGATCCGGACAGTCCCGACGACCCTCCCACCACAAAGACCCAGCCACCAAAGCACCGCAGCCCTCCTGACCAGCCCTCGATATGACTCGGCGTGATCTTGACCCAGAACGGGCACAGATCACATCATGAGTTCCCCCAGCCATGCTCTCTAGGACCATTGCAATTACTGCTTGCCTGTCAGGCATCGAGATTCCGGCGTGCGTGTCTTTGTCTTGGCTGTACCTGCAGGCACAAGAAGGCCAATCACAGGCCAATGCAAGGATGCAGGAACTGAACTAGCAACTTCCAACTGCTTGCAGGATGAGGGCCAGGCGTCTAGGCCTTCGTGCAACAAAAGCTAGCTCGCGATACGTGACCGCAGCTCGGACAAGTGCCTTGGAACATAAAGCTGTGTTGGCCACTGAGCTACAGGCACCAAGCTCTGATTGGTTATGCCAGCTGGCACCTCAAATAAACTATACGTGTCAAATGCAGAGGGAGAGAGAAGACTCACCGCACGAATCTGTAAGAGGAAGGTCTTAGATTCGAGCTGCCACGGACACCGCTGCACATGGCGAGGTGCGTGCCTGGCCAGAGCAGCTTGACTGGACAGCTGCACAGCAGCTCTCGCGCCTTCATGGTCGGCTTGACGTGTGGGACGCCTTCCTGCGGTTGCTAGAAATGCCAGATGCCTTACGGCCTTAGTTGCTCTGCGGTTCAACAGCCTTCCATAGTGGAGATCCGGGGGGAAGCCTGACACATGTCAAAATCGATTATTCAGCACAACCAAAACTAAAAGCTTGCACCACGGCCTCGCTATGTCAGTCTGTTCGGAGTGCCTCTGTGAGCAGACTTCAAGAAGCCCTTAGCCCTCTACATCGGCCCGACTCGAAAAACTCCAAGTCTATGCCTGGTTGACTTCTGAACCCCTCCTAAAGGTTAAACTTTTAGCCTCCTGATTATAGTTTGTATAGATTCCCAAAAAGTTAAGGTCCTAGGAGCCAACCAGAAGAACGCCATGTATACCTTCTACAGTGTGAGCAGTCATGTGCCGTCTGCCAACCTGTCCTCATGTCGCGACTCGCAGATGAGGCCTGCACACGCGGGAGCCGCAAGAGGCGGTGACTGGCGTCCGATGCGACGGATACGGCACGGCGGCATATGTCAACATGGTTCTCAAGCAACCCTAGGCGTTCTGCACACGCCTCGCTAAAGCTTGAGGCTGTCGTAAACTGCACCAACAAGTGTCAGATGCAATGTTCGGAAGAAACTAGACACGTGGTTTCTTTGTTGTTTCATGTGTGTTACTCAATGAGCTTGCTGCTGCATGGCTACCGGGCTGACGATGCCCAAACAAACGGCGGCTCGGGAAATTCCGTATTCCGAAACCAATCTCGAATCCACATGAGCCAGCTTCTTCGGAGTGCACAGGACATACAGGACGCGCAAAGAATGGCCGTGAAAAAAGCACATGACGACAGTCTTCAGGCAACGATGCGGCGACACTTTCTTTCCGCTCCAGAAGCAAGCGCTTTCGTCGAATCGACCTCAGAAGCGAAGGATTGGTTTCGCCTTCGCATATGCTTTGCCTTGCATTGTCTCCTTTCACAGGGCTTCCAGGTTTTGCGGAACAGCCCATGACTCCCTCAACACTGTGCTTCCAGCCCGAAGCAGGGATTTGAGCTCGGGCCGTCGTGGTCACCTGTGACGTGGCCAGCCTGGCCGAGGCTTTCGGCCTGGGTCCCGGGACGTCTTTGACTTGCTTGGATCCCTTGAAACATCTTCACGGCGCAATGAAGTAAGGGTGTTGCATGCTTCGTCTTGCACTCATCTCCCCCAGAAACACGCCTGAAGAGAAGCGCGCGCACACACACACACATGAAGGGTGTCTCAAGCCGCGGCCTGTTCGCGTCCAGCACAAATCGAGGGCGCTTGGCAACAGCCACACTCTTGTGTGAACCTGCTGCCTGAGCTCCTAAGCCAGACTTGAATTGCCCACAAACACAACGCATTGAATCACAGGCGTCCTTCGCGTGACTCCGAAGTGATGGTCTCCCTGCATGCGGGGATGTGAACTAAAAGCCGGCAAAGCCTGAGAAGCACGCACTACCAGCTTCAAGCTAATGACACATGGGGAAGGCAAGTCGTCAGCAAGACATCGTCAGAGTGGACTACGTAGACCATGCAGTAACAGGCCCGTTCGGCATGTGATGGAATCACTTTGTTCACGTCCGGAACTCTATGGCAAACATGTATCTTGGCATTGCGGGGCACAGATGGCCGAAACTTCACAAATACCTCATGTCCGATGCCGCACGAATCGCTCGTACATCTTTAGAGAACTGAGCGACTGTAGCAACAGCGAAGCCTCGTATCTACCGACTCTGACAAGCAATGAAGCAACTTCCGCAAGCTCAAAGGACGGCTCTGTCTGATTGAGATCAAAGCCGAAGCGCCTTGGATGCTCGGCCACAAGGCCACGACTCTGCAGCCTCGGTTCGTGTAGCACTGAATTATGCTTCTTAGGCCATCGTACAGACAACTGGCTCCTTCTGTGTTCGGATAGCAGCTGTGCAGCTCGGGTGGCATGGATGGCAACACCGATTGGAACTCTCGAAAGCCTCTGGCTCCGCCGAAAAAACCCAAGATTAGATGGTTATGTGCTGTCTAAGGAGGAATACAAAGCTTGTTTGCGTGTCATTTGTGCTGATCGCAAGACGGCATGTAAACACTTTCTACATAAGTTGTTGAAACGACTTTTAGTGCACTTACTTTTGGCACATCTGAGGTCAGCACAACTCTCGCGAGTGATTGCTAAGCCTGGCACCACAAGCGGTCCGAACACGAGCAGCAACTGCACGAGCTGGCAGCTGTCACGTGCAGGTTTGTGTCACTGGTTGTCTACGCACAATTCAGATGTAAAAGCTGTCGCATTGTGCTCTCGGTGAGGGCGTGCCTGCAAAACTACCGCCGATCTAATTTTGCACCGAACTGCAAGAACTCCCAACTGCCAATCTCGACTGTTTTCAGAGACCAACAGCTGAATCAGCGAGGAAAGTCCCCGCGAAAAAGAACATGTCAGAATCTGTCAAAGCCCAAAAGAAACAGAAACCAAAACAAGCACCGTTTCTCGAGACAATCCCAAAACAACCCCTTCCTGCTAGTTCACACTCTACTGTTCCAAAAGGGTGCATGCAACCCAAAAGAGGCACCTTCATTTTGCTGTGACGGGCGGTAGGGTTCTCCGGCGGACCGTCATCAAAGATGGCGGATCGCTGCTTCGGGCATTGCCTCCGAAGCCGGGTGGCGGGAGAGCCAAACACAGAAGAGCTGTAAGCTTGAGCAAACCATTCGATCAGCAGAACTCTATGTTATCCCGGATATCCCTAACCAGCAAGTCTGTTCTGCTAGTTCACAAGAGGCACCTGATTTTGCTGCGACGGGCTCGGCAGTCACCAGAGTCGTCAACTGCGCGGATCGCCGGCTTAGCCGCGAATCGCGTTCCTTTCTTCTGGCGTTCGACGTTCGTCTGCCAGACCACGCCATAGAGAGCCGCGTCCTTCAAGACGAGCGTCTCCGGCACGACGTGGAGGGCGTCGTCGAACCGTAGGGACGAGTAGATCATGATCAGGACCCACCACGCGAAGAAGGCCATAACGAACTGGCTGGACTGGAACCGAGCGGAGCGACCAGGACCGGGACCAACGGTATCGACACGGCTTCACGCGTCTCCTTGCCACGATCGCCATAAACCTTCTTCTGCAGAGCCATGATACGAGCGTCCAGCAAGTCGGGCCATTGCATCTCGATTCGTTTGCAGCCACACACCAATCAGCCAAGAATGCAGGTGCCCCTAAAGGGGATGCCACCAAACCCAAAAGCCGTAAAGAAAAACTCAGTAGGCTGGTTTACAGCAGGCCCGGCAGCGGTCGTAGTCATCGGTGCAGTAGATGTCCCCGATGGCGCCGTCGAAATAGGTTTGGGTGGTGGGCTCTGAACCTTTGACCTGCTGCCGAAAGCTTCAGACGGCAATCGCTTGGCTGTAGGCTGAAGCTTCGGCCTCCTCTGCTGGGCGGTGCGACGGTGCGCCTCTGGAGCTGCTGCCTTGGATGCCGTGGCGCGACTCTCGGCCTCGCGCTCCCGGGCGTCGAACTCTTCTTGCATCCACTGCACTCCTCGCCTCTCGAAAGCATGGAGCCGCCTTTGCAAGTAGAGGCGGCGAAGTTGGTGCTGGATCGCTCGCAGTAGTGACCGGTGCCTCTGGAAGGCCACCACATGTCCCACCAGCACCAGGTCCACATGGTCCACATGATATTGTGGATCAGCTCGGGCAGCTCCTGAGCGGTGCCGCTGCGGTTGCGAAGATTGGCGGTGCACCTCAAGGTATCAGCCAGAAGTCCGCCCACCACAGCATTGCTGGAGTCCGCCATCCTTTCCAGCAAAGAGCGCTGCTGTGTTGCGTTAAGGCCCCTGAGCTTCTTCTCGAGGTCGGCGCAATTCTTCTCGATGCGCTTGATCTCCGCCTTCTCCTCCGCAGACAGCCCTTCAGCGAACTCGTCGTCCGGGTTTGCGGGGTCATGGGTGTGATCCTCGGGGTCCTGGTGCGATGCTGCACCTGGCTTTGGCGATGCGCCTGGGTCTGTGTTCCCATCGCGTTCCGGCGGTGCTCAGCCTCTTCCCGCATCTCAGCCAAAAGTAACGCAGACCGCGGGGGGAGCGGCAGTCGACCAGGACGAGGGGGACCTCCTGACAGCTGGAAGTTCGAGCCCGGTTGGCGAGGAAGTGCTTGAAGTTGAAGAATGGCCTCGGCTCACCAGTGGATGCGGCAAGAGCGCGTCGTCCTGAGGCTTCACGATCTCCGCATCCAGATCCCCTATGGGTGGCACACCATGGTTGGCTGCCCTGAGCCTCGCCAGCAAACCCTTCCTCCAGCAAACGAAGATGATATCCCTGATGTACCACGCCGCACGCACGACCCCCAGGATTGAAAGCCGCTCACCACACGGGTTGACATGAGAAGGCGCTGCGTGGAAGATCGTCCAGGGCCCAGGGTTGGGGACCGTGATTGCCATCGGTGTGTTTCGTCGTTCCTTCTTTGGGGGCTGCTTCGCGAGTTCCATTGGCTCCGTCTCTGGCTCCTGGTCGAAGTTGCCCGGCGCAAAGGAGGTCGGAATAGATGAAGAAGAGCATCCGGGCCCAGCTTCAGGCTGGCCCACAACAAAGTCACTGCTGGGCGGAACACCTGATTGGCTCCGACTCCTCCATCGAAGGGACCTGGTGCGCCTCCATGCGGATCGTCGGTGGGAGCCTCCGCAGTGGGGGTTCGATCAGGTTCTCCTTGGCCGGGTCCGCCTTAAAACTCGGGTGCCTCCGAAGCAATGGTGAAACCCTGGCCACCATCGACAGCAGATTAAGGACCTCAAAAACCGCGGCAGCTCTAAATTGCCCCAGCCAAGTCTCTCGGTGAAAAGAGCTATTTCATCATTCACCTCATCTCCTGACAGGCGTCGACTCCGGCCGCCCGCCTCAGGCTGTCACGGCTCTGGCAGTTCAGGCTCCCAGACCGGTTGCGCTGCCTGTGGCTTCCGGGGCTGGAGGGACGAGCTGGGTGGGTGTAACGCCTGGTGGCGCTGTTGGCACGATCAGAAGCGGGTTCCCTGCCGGGCTCCTCTGCTGCCCCTCCAAATCAATAATTTCCATATCGAAACAAGGAGGCAGTGGGACAGCCGGCAAAGGGTTAAGGTGACTGAGCAGCATGATAGCAGCTCTGGTAACGCCGACGCTTCCTCCGTTGCGGGACCCTTCAAGATATCAGGAAGTCCGAGCTGCACCTTTGAAGCCTGAGGCTGAAGGCGTTAGCAACTAAGGCTACGGCTTCTCCATTGGTGGAGCCATGTTCCTGCGCTGCCTATGCTGCCTGGTGGGCCTCGAATACTGCCTCAGCACTCAGCTCAACCTCTGGCCCACGAGCCAGAACGGTCCAGGGGGAGGGGGGTTCCAAACTCGGTTTTCGTCCTACGCTGTTCCGAGGCAAGGACCCATCCTTCATCATGCCTGAAGACCACTGATTCAGGAGACTTGGTGAGTTGCCTAATTAAGGTGATCCGGGTCACGCCCAGCTACCCCTCTGCCTTCCCACTCATCACACCAGCGATAGGAGCTGGAAGAAAGCAGAGTGGCTATCCTGCGGGGGAGAGTAAAGGAACTCCTGCAACCAGTTGCGTGGGTGCTTCATCTGTCACGGGCGGGTGAGCAGAGGCGCGACCACAGACTTTTCAAGTTTCCCCCGGCTGCGACCGCAGCCTTGCCTGAGGTCCGTTGTCGATGAGTCGATGAGGTTTGACGTCGATCGGGGATGAAGAGGGCGTTTGCCTTCGGTCTGGAGCTGTGGGAGAGCGAACTGCAGGTGCCGCAGCGCCTCATATTCTTGAAACGGCAGGCGATCAGCGAAGTCAGCCACGAGCGCGACACCATCGCCGACCAAGGCTCAGTGAAGTGCAAGAAGTGCTCCATCAGGTCGTCGTGAAAGTCGTGAAAGGCAAAGCACTCCAGGACCATTTCCAGCACTTGGCGTCACGCATCAGTGCCCCAGTTGCCCGCTCTCTCCGTGGCATCATCCTGGCGCTGTGGCAGCCGAACTGTGGAAGCTGCCGTGCTGAGGGAACGACATGGCCACAAGAATGATCTACCTGAAAGCTGTCCCACACCGATGAAAAAGATCGAAGGCGATCGCCTGCGCCAAAACGACCACGGGAATTGCATCTGGAAAGGCTGCTCCAATAAAAAACCTTGTTTATGTGATTTGATGAACGTCTCTGTTGAACTAAACTAATCCTGGTTGACATAAACAAAAAAGCTGTGTGACAAAGTCAACGTAGCAATACCCTCGCTCCTCGCCAGCAATCTCAGCAATCTTGGACTGAGAGGCTCGGATGGCTCGGCTCCTCCAACAACTCCAAAGCAGCTCACGTCAAGACTGGACACTTTGGCCTTTCTGCTCTATTCCAGGCGGAACCTCGGCCACGCGTTGACATGTCCTAGCAACCCGCTGTCCACTGTGTGACGCTGCCTCTTCATCCCTTGTGCCTGAAGCTTCTGACCTCGGGTGTGGGCGTGGCTGAAGCAAAGCCATGATCGACAAGAAAACGAGCCTGGTCTGGCTTGTCCTTCTGCCAAGTGGGATCCGCTTCAAGTGACATGCCTGCAGGTAATGCTGCTCTCTCTCACCTGCTAGCCTCCAAGTCCTGCAGAAGACGCACTCAAGCCATACCACGTAAGAAATGCATACCACAGCCTCCAACCTTCAGGCTTCAAGAAGTTCGCAACTCTTGCGCCCCAAGCTCCGAGTTCAGAAAATCCCTTGACTTCTTGGTGAATGCTCCAGGAAGGGACCCTCTCTGTGTGGGGTGGGTGCCCTGTTCTATTGTGGGACATAGTATGTTCGATTTGGAACCGTTTGCATGCCTGACTGCCTGACTGGTGTCTGCACCCAGACTCATCGCATGGGAAGGCGCATGGACTAAGATCAGAAGGCTTCCTCCACACAGGCCCCCGATGTCAACCATCTGCGACTACGACAAGCATCAAGCTGAGTAAGTGGCTTCACTAGTGGCAGTGTGGCTTAACATGCCAACTTCGGAGAATGTGGCATCCTATCAGAGCTGGCAGCTGCAGCACAAAGCAGTCAGAATCACTTGTTGGAGGATGCATGGTGCTCCGTCGTGCAGTGCTCCTTCAAGTCACACTTGATGCAGAGAACGTCGTGGTGGCAATGCGAAATGGCCGGCTTGCTGCTGACCGGAGGGCATAAAGCGAGATCCAAGCAGCGAAGGCTCCGTCTCTTTGCAAGTTTTTATGGGTACTTGCGTCGGTAGTAAACGCGTGATGGACAGCTGAAAGTAATTACCTCCTCCCCGTGTCCTGCAGTGTCTGCTCCCGTTCATTCAGGCCTTACTGGCCTTCCTTCATAGCCCCCACAGTCACCACCGTCCACATTGAAGTGTTACAGTAGACGTGGTGCACGAAGAGTGGAAGCTCGACAGCTGCTCTCAGCTGCTGGCAGTCTACGCCATCTCGAACAACTCTGACATGCCAAAACAGCACGGCCACTGTCCCCGGAGAGTTGTTTTCCGCAAGGTGATTCCCAAGCTGCAAGTGCTGCAAAGTGCATCAAATTGTGCAGCAGATAAATCAGCCGCGTCATCAACACGAAGCATATCAGCCTGTGGGGTCATCCTAGTTGTCGCTGCACCTCCGTGGCTGTGGCACTGCAGCCTTCTAAAGCTCTGGATTTGATGCTGCGGTACTTTATGCTGATGGCTCATCCATTTCCTGCTCCGACAGGCCAAACTGAAACGCACGGCACCCGCCGACTCTGTCGTGCCCGGATGCGACAAGGAAGGCCTCGGTACCGTCCTTCACCCTCTATGTACCACGTCACGGCCTTCTTCAGCGCGGGACAAGTTTAAGCAAGAGAAGGTCATGGAATCAATGAAGATGCAACCGTGCATGTCGTAAGGACGGTGCCGAGCTCCTTGAGCGCCACGCCTCTGTTCAACTGATTTTTCCGGATTGCTGCCGAGTGCATTTTCCCTTCACAGCCTGGCCATCTGCTTGTCCTTCAGCTGCCATCAGCTGCCATGACACTCGTTGGAGCAGTCCAAACCCTATGGTACGTTGTCCTCGTCCGTTCAGATCTCTTCCCCGGACAGCTTCTTGGGCGGCAGGGATGTCAAAGACACTGGCCAGGACGATGACGATGGCACAGAGCGTGAGCCAGGGAAGTCTCGTGGGCACGGCAGAGGTGTGGCTTGCGAAGAAGGTCCTGCGAAGCAGCGACAACCATGCATGCGCTGTGCTGTCGAGGCTCTGTCACACAAAAGAACAGCCGTCAAGCAAGCCTCCTGCAACTCTTGCGGCAAGCAAGACCTTGCCGAAGTGCTGGGATCCAGCCGGCTTCAATGAAGCCTCGATCTTCTGCGACTGCATATTGAAACCTGATGGCAACGTCATACGACTTCTGCTGCGCTGGAGCTGCGGCCACCATGATTGTAAAAGCCACGACCGCGGCTAGCAGCACCATCAACACTAGCAGCACAGCTGCCGCAACTAGCAGATACTTGCGGACCCAGTCCCAGCATCCCTGCAGAACCGCCCTGTCCTTAGGAATCCTTTGCCGAGGAGCTGAGCCATGCTTCGCCGAATTCGCTGTTGTCCAATCGGTACAGGTTGCATCGAAGGTCGGGTCCATCAGGAACGATCAAGCCTTCGGCACAAGCTGCCCCAGAAGTCCGAAGGAAGCAACTCTGCGCCTGTTGAAGCTGTGCTGTCCCCAATGAGGAGTGTCAGCTGTAGCTGCTCGACGCCAGGCATTCTACCTCGGCTCGAAATTTGGACTCCTGGGACGTTAAGGCAGCAAAGCAAACGAAATTAGATGAGATGCTGATGATGAAGTTTTCACCACTGCTGAGTTGCCATCTGCCGCACACCTCAGACAAGGTCGCACACGCAGTCCCAGGAAAAGAAACGCAAAGGACTGCAGTTGCTTGCGGCCGCAAGCGGCATCCTGCATCTCCAGGCCAGTCATGTCCAGCTTGCTGTTCGAGCCGCTGGTGCTGGACCTTCCGAAGTGCTGTTCGACGTCCCTCACATGCGAAGGGTCTGGGGCCAAGGCGTGGGATCGACCGTGGTTACAACGATGGGCTGCTTGAGTCGGTGGAAATCACGCATTGCGCCTGGGATGCAACCGCAAACGATGAGAACTACCCGAGACTGCACCCTGGCCTGAAAGAACTTGAAGAAAGTCCAACTGCTGAAATACCGGCACGCCATTGATATGCACGATTCGATCGCCCACCTTCCGACATGCCGGGCGAGAAATGGAGAGTGCCTGCTGCACCACGTGCCCTGTGGCAGCCTTAAACCCGAAAGTTTCAGCACGAGGGTCTGCGAAGCTTGTGATGACGAGGGTGTCCTGCACACAGTGTCATGACATATCATGACACCATCTTCTCGATGGAATCACGTCTGCTCGTGAAGACCTGGAGCATCCCCTGCGGTCCTCTGTGAGGTTTACGCCGAGTCGATCGCCTTCTAGAGGAGTGTCGATAACCAACTGTCTCCAGGGCTTGTTGACGCGAGCGTTGGGTCTGAATTTGGGAGTGGCACTTGGTCTGCCCCCCAGCGAGTGAAGGGATTGCAGAAGCCGATGCCGCCGCTCATGCATTCCGAGAACCGAGTCTGAACGACGTGCATCACAGTTTTCGGTAACAAGAAACGCCCTTGTTGACACTATCGCACAGCAGCTCGAGATGAAGGCAAAGATTGTGATGGCGACAACAGTCAGAAGACCGTATCCATCCCTTGGATGCACACAAGTACATGGAAGTGTGACGTGAAACATGATTCTATGATGAAGCACATGTTAATTTCTGCATGCAGAAGATCAGGGCAGACTGACCGACCGTGCCATGGCACCTGTAAACGGAGGCGCTTGATGCAGCTGCGGAAAGCTTTGCCCGCAATGCTTGCAGCAGCGATGGCTGGACCATCGCAGACCAGAGGTGCTCTGCCTCGCAGCATCTGGCAAGGCGAAAAGGATGTAGCAGGGTGCAGAAGTTTGCGTCTGACAAAGCTTGACATCGAGATCACACATGCAACTATGTCACACCCCTCTCCGAAGCATCTAGCAACATGAGCACCACTGTTGGATTCCTCCCAGTCGAACACTGAGCCGGTGCGCCATTTCGCTTGCGTGATATTACTTATTATTTCTTGCTGTATCCCTCTGCTGACTTTGATACGGATGATGGTTCTCTTCCTGTACTCTACTCCGCGTTTGTTCGGGGATGCTCTGCACGTCAAACGTCCTAGCTTAGTCGACTGGGAATTAAAGGCTGCCTGCACTTTTCCAATGTCAGAGTGACTGGCCGAGCGAACCAATTATGGCCAAAACCGCTTCGAGAGAGGAGCGGGCTTCTAAAGTCCCTCTGGGAGCTTCAGTCTGTGTCGGGCCAGGCCCTTTTTTTGGAGACGGGTGGAAGCGATCGAGCAACAATGGCATCTTGCTTGCTTGCTTGTCGGGCGTTTGGGGTGTAGGGGCATGCTCTACCTGTCCTCCCCTGCGCGCGAGCGCTACGCCGTTTTGCGAGTCTGTTCGCAAACCTGACGGCAAGGCCCCCTAGGCTCCGAGTATGCATACATGAGCTAAAGCTGTCCCCTGCCTTGCCGCTCTGTCTGTCTGTCTCTCTCTCTTTTCTTTCGCCAGGGTTGTGGTGACGGGGTTTCCCCCCTCACCGCGCGCACGTGCGCCCCCGACTGTTGCGGGTGCCAAAGGGGCTGAAGGCATACAAAGACAACCAGGTGCCTCTGCAAAGAGAGATTGCAGGACTCTATCTCAGCCACTATGCGATCTCAGAAGATACCAGCGCTGAGTGAATTACAAGACCTCAAATACGAGGCCAGATCTCGAGGAATTTGGAGCCTCCAGCGGCCCGTCAGGATTAGCATACAAAGTATGGTACAAGGGCTTGACCCCAAACTCGGAACGGCATGAATGGAGAGAAAGTTCAGCATGGATCCCAGCTGAGTCCCAAGGGTTTTACCCCTACTAGTTCACAGAAAGAGACAAAACTTCTTGCATGTCAGCACTCAGCGGTGGGGCAGGCCACTTAAGCTAGACCAGCAGTGGAGAATGACAGAATCGCATACAGAAACTCATTACGAGGACATCCCTTTTTGCTAGCAGCAGCCTGACGCACAGGGGCTTCGCCCCAAAATCTACCAAAGGGCGGCATCATGTCAGGGCTTATCGTCTTCTCTTGCTGGTGTGTTTCCAGGTAAATTTCGTGAGGTGGGGGTTTCTAGGGTTTGGGAAACTTGGGCACATGTTCCCACCACAATGCATCGGGCTGGGTCCCTTAACAGGCGGCTGCATTGGCTGCAAGGGGTGCAGGGTGCTGAAAAAGTGTTTGGCGGTCAGATTCAACCATCGGTTTCGGTTTCTTCCAGGTGTGGAGCTCCGTGCTGCTGAATCTGTTTCGTGAACTTGGGTGTTTGGCATGAGAAGCAATCTTGTGATGTGTCAGTGTCGAGATACGGCGCTTGCATTTGTCAAGCTTTTGGCAACAGACCCCAGTTTTTAAACAATGGCTTGTCTAGTAGTGGCTAGGTGCTGTAATGCTGCAGTCGTTACAGCATTTAGGAAAGCGCGGCTGCCTGAAGATTATGCCTCAGTCTACAACTCCAGCTCCTGTTTAGAACTTCCTCTTGCGCCCGCCCTTGCACGGGTGCAGTCAAATCACAAAACGTGACCCATCATGTAGATCAAGCGTGTTCAGGGTCACGGAAGATTTCACAGGAATTTAATTCAATCAGCACCTATGTACCTAAGCGGCCTAAGACACTCGTTCAACAGCATTCTCCGTTCTCTACGTTGCCGATAAGGGCAGCCCTTTGCGATGTTATGAACTTCTTCCAAACGGCTTCCGAAGACTCCACAAACAAAAACTGCGAGTAGACCACGGCTGCGACTACAACTCCACCCGTGCACTTCATTTCCTGTTTCCCCAGGGCCGCTCATGTGTGCTTTGCGCTGACCCTGCGACACGACGACCCCCACACGGAGCAGATTTCCAAGACACCCTCCCACCCCAACCCTTCCACAAAAACGATTTCACTCCATCAAGTTTGCTGCTTATCCTTTCTACAGGGGCGGCCCCCCCGCCCCTTTTTTCCGGCGAATTCCGCAGAGAGTTTTCGTCACGACAGCCACTGCATTCATTCACACATGTTCACATCTTTTTCCAGGAGGCGAACCCCTGCATGGTAGCCCTCGCCGTCCTTTTCCGGTGATTCGTTTTGTTACCCCAGACCTTCCAGTACTCACCAATTACAGGATTTGCGTACATACGCGGTATCTTCACATTATATAGTGTATACTTCCTCAATTAAGGGAGGGTTCCAACTAGCGTGTATCAGTGTTCATGAAAGCGACAATGTAGTCAGAAGCTTGTTTTCTGAACAGGAGAACACAGGTTAGCTATGAAAAGGGGTGGGGGCTGGGATGAGGGTGGGATGTGAGATGGAGTTGACGCCTTGAACGTTTCAACCCTAAAGCCTACGCCTTGAAGCCTCAAGCCGTGAACCTCTTACTTCTTATGTGTACAATCCCTACTGGCCTTCGTGGGCAATGGTAAAACATCGTTGGCGAAAGCTTAAAACATCGCGGGCAATAGTCTCAGAATTCGTGGGCAATGGTCGTTTTCAATTTTTCACCATTGACCGTGAAGTTTTGCCCATTGCCCACCAACTTTTGACCATTGCCCACGAAATGCCTGAGAACAGTCATGGTGAACAACTCGTGGGCGAGGTCAAAAGTTCCTGGACAATAATCAAAAACAGTCTGTGGGCAATGATCAAGAATGCGTGGGCATTGGTCAAGCATTCGTGGGCAACCGTCAAGGGCTATGTCTTATGAGGTACTAAAGCTTCATTCGTAGGGCTTAAACCCTACATCCTGGTCACAGGTCCTATAAATCGTGGGTTTTAAAACCCTAATTCGCAGGTCTTGAATCCTAACCTATAAGGCCCAAATCCTGTTTCACAGACCCTAAACTAGGATGTTGTAGAACCTCGCGATTTCTAACATGTTCTTGGATTTGCTTGGGATTTCTGCGCTAAGCCCAAGGGTTCTGATTCAAATCATGTATTCGGTTCGAGGGTGGGCTGTGGAATAGACGTTTAGTGAAATGATTTAAAGGAAAGGCTAGGTTTGAGAGTTAAACCATGCTGCGGCAACACATCGTTCAGCTTCTCGGTGCGTCAAGCCGCAAAAAACTGGTCGTGATTGCTTGTCTTGCCGGTACATCAAGTGAGACTGTTGCTTCGGATAGTGTCCACCATACTGCCGGTCGAGCCGCCTCTGTTAAGAAAATGTGTACAACAAATGTGTCCAGGCTACGTGGTGTTATAACCATTCTTCAGTATGTGTAATTCGGTCATATTTTTTACATCTATGTCTGCTTGGGGGACGAATACGTACATTGTAAACAAACACATACACACATACATACACTTGTACATATACATTTGCATGTACATATAATTGATACATAGATACATGTATGTATGTGTATATATATATATACATATATATATATTATGAAAGTATGTACATATATGTATGTATGTATGTATGCATGTATGTATGTATGTGTGTATTCAATTCATTGTTCTTGCTGTTTGTATTGTTCTGTTACTATTTGTGTATTTCTTTCGCTGGAAATAGTAGATTTTTGAAGTGATAAAACTATATATTGAAACCTTACATGTTTATGTTCTATATATTAACGACTTTTATGTTTTATGCGGGTATTAAACTTTTAATCGCTTCCTTCACAAAGCATTATCTTCCGATACAATTCTGCATTTTTAGCCAACAAAACCCGGCCAAAAATTACATTTGAATGTATATTTTGTATTTTAGAGAAATAGAAATATTGTTCAACATCCGTGTTTTGGGGGTGCCCAAAACTGTGTTACTTACGTTGCTTTTATTTGGATGACTTCACAATACAGTGAAAGTCATAACTCATTTTTGGACACAGAAACCAATACTGCTGTTTTAAACCGTGGTATCTTTTTACCGGTTCGTTGGGTTTCATTCATGTATATGCTATTGTAAGATATCTGGTTTATTCTATTTCGTTTTTCTTTGTAACACCTATACAGAAAACATATAGCGATTATTTTCGAAAAATAACACATTTTCCATGATTGTGTTTGTGGTTGTAACAACAGCTTCTTTATACATCCCTGTATTTCTGTTTACAAGTTGAGATTTTTCCAGTCTGTTATCTTGTAAATTCGCTGTCTGTACAGAACATGTCGCTTGTCGACTCAGTGGTCCGATCTTAATTCGGCTTTTTGACTGAATGCTCTAACATGTTAGTTTTTGTTTTATCAATGTTGATAGCTTTCGTTTGGCCTGGAATGTTTAAGTCTTCGAAATTGTCTGATCTGTTCTTCATTCTCTCTACAAAGCTTTGATCTTCTCATTTTATTGCTTTAAACTGTGTAGGTTCTTTTGATTTGAGTAAATTTGTGTACATGCTTCAGGCTTCCATGATTTCAATGGATTTTATGTAATTTGTTTCTGTGCCTTTGCACTTTTGATTTCCAAGCTCAAGTCTTTACACGTTGAATGTGTTTTTCAAAGTTGTTTGCATTTCTTTGATAATTGATGTGTTACCCTACTTTGAACTCACCGTTTGTATTTGCCCAGGTGGTAAAAACCTTTGTCATTTTCATGTGCGTATTTAGTTTGTGTGCTTTATTCTTATATGTATGTTGTATTTCTTACGTGCGTCTTGTTGCTGTTGTGTTGATTTTAAATACTACTGGTTTTGTTTGTTTCCAAGTTTATGTTTCTTGAAAGCATTTATTGTTTTAAACCTTTTTGCAGCCTTGTCTTGGTTTAGTCTTATGCGCTTGGTGCGTGTCGGTTTTGTTGCTGGCTTTTTCTATTTGGTGTAATATGCTTCACATTTTC